TGTGTGTGTGTGTGTGTGTGTGTGTGTGTGTGTGTGTGTGTGTGTGTCCGTGTCCCTGTGTGTATGAACACACGTGTGTGCATGCTTACAGAGGCTGGAGGTTAGTATCCAATGGGATCCTCGGCTGTTCTGTACCTTGGTTTTTTTTGTTGTTGTTGTTTTGTTTTTTGTTTTTTGTTTTTTCTGAAGCAAGCTCTTGTCTGGAACTCAACAGACCAGCTGGACTGGCTAGCCAGTGAGCCCTAGTGCTGTGAGGCCTGGCTTTTACCTGGATGACTGAGCCGCACTCAGGCCCTCATGCTTGCCATGGTTGGGCTCTGTATCCATGTCCTAACTTCAGTGTCTACTTTAACTGGGAAAAACATCTTAAGGTGAAATGATTCCTGGTATTTCTTTTCCTGTGTACGTGAAGGACACCACAACAGCTGTGAAAGTACTGTTACACACGCGCACACATGCAGATCCTTACAGAATGTTTGAAGCAGTGAGCGTGGGTAGGGTGGTTTTGGGGAAAGATGGGTTAAATGTTTAGAATAGAGTATGGAAAAGACTAGATTTCGTAGTTTGTGAAAAGGGGAAAAAAAAAAGCCACATTTACCCCCAGAACAATGTGCAGCTTTAGTCATTAGTGCCCAGGGGTATGTACACATTTTTCTGGGAAAAGCAAGTTTGTGTCCTGAAGTATGTAATATCGCCGCTGCGTCACCTGGAATGAAAAATGTCACCAGTGTAGTCTGGAGAGGGAGAGAAGTTAGCATCTGGAATATGAACCGCCCCGGACATTTTAAAGATGTTTTCGCGCTTAGCTGTGTGGCAGAATTAATTCATTCTCAAGTCATCGCTGCCGGTAACGCATATGAATGAGGTCATTGAGAAGAGGCATCTTAGGAAATACTTGAGCTTTTGTCAGATCACCCATCTCACACATGGTAAGCCACTTAGGGAATGGGCCTTCTGAACTGCATCAACAGCTCAGGAATTTCTGGGTCAGAAAAATACCATTGCAGCATTTCAGCCCAGAGAGTTATGATTAAACTCTTGAAGAATTTTTTTTTTTCTTACGGTCAGTTCAAAATCAACTTCTTTTTTAGAAGGAAAAAGACATACTCTACAGTTTGATTTATGCTCCAAATCTGCCTTCCATAGAAGCAGAGGGAAAGAAATCAAAATAAAAAAACCTGGGAGTTCAAAACCATTCTGGGCTACACAGCAAGATCCTGTTTGAAAAAATAATTACAAAAGAGAGAAATTATTCAAAAGCTATAGTAAGTTATCAAAATTTGGGGAGATGGAAAGCCCAAGAGCCTTTGTCCACATAGTCACTTAATGGCAGTGGCTTTGGCTTTCAGAGAAGGTAACAGATGGGAGCTCTAGGCAGATTTCAAAACCCTCCGTTGGTCTTCAGATACTTGGGTTTATCCGCTACATATGCCAATTGTAAAGCTGTCCTCCACCTGTGGAATTGCAGGGAATTGCATCAGATAACAAGGCTGTGGTGTGTTTACAAACATGTTTACAAACCTCTCCTCTTGGCTGGTGATGTTCTCTGTGGACAGGCTTTTTGTGGACATCCATCTTTCCACCATTTAGACATTTAAAGCGCTCTGTCACTTAGACACTGTGCACTCTGCCATGAAGTAAGTGTGTTCTCTGTGCATCCACAGCAGCTTTTTTCTTTTTCTTTACAGATTCCTATGTTTGTAAGTCATACAACTGTTTTGACAAAAAAGCTAAAAGGAGCTGGTTTCTTTTAATATTTTTTACTCAGGGCAGAAGACTCATAGACAGAAAGGCAGGGACAGCATGAGTGAGAACAATGGTACTTTCTAAATATAAAGTTTAGTAATGACCAAAAACCACAATTATGAGTAGGCCACCTGCTGTTCTTAATGTTAGTGTCAGGTAGCAATGGACTTGTTCCCTCAAAGAGATTATCATTCCCCTCCATCCTGCTACCTTGCCTAATAATCTAAAGCCGTGAGGAAGCTAGGATTATGAGCAAGCTGTACTCAAGACTGAAAGCGTGCTCAGCATGTCTCAAAGCACAGACGGATCTCGCTGTAAACTGTGAGCAGTGCAAGGGTGCCTCTAGTGAAATGTTGTCTTCTGTGAGGTCAGGACCATTCCAAATTGCTGTCTTCCTTTGGAATTTAAGCTGACTCCATTTACCAACCATAGCTGGCAAATGAAAAGGAAAACTACGTTGTGTGTCATTGTCATCTTCAGGATGTACTGTGTCCCCGGACCACCCTGGATACACCGAAGCCATGTCAAGCATTCCCAAGACATCCGAACCTTGTTACTCTTAACATTCTGTTTAAAAACAAGCAAGTAATTGGATGTGTGTTATGGGGGGTGGGGGTTGCTTGGAGTAGGATTTTGCTATGTAGCTCAAACTGGGCTAGAATCAGCAATCCTCCTGCCTCAGCCTCCCAAGTGCTGGGTTGATACCCGGAAACAAATAATTTAAACCTATGTTGTGTGAATGCTAGGAATTGGAAGAATTTTTGTCAGGTCCTCTCTTTCCTTATCCTCTCTTCTGTTTTAATTTTAAAATGCAAGGGGGCCCAGAGCCCCACCTGCTCTCCTTTTATCTGCATGCCTGCAGCTCCCTGCAGCAAAGCTCTTGAACCTTTGATAGTGCACCCTTAGCTCCTTCTGTCTTGAGAACAGACCCAGGTTACCCAGGAGATAAGACCCACACATTCCCGAGGAGCTGGGCCCTGGGTGGTGATGGGAGTATGGGTGCCCAAGGCTACAGATGGTCATTGATAGCAGTATGTCATCCACTTACTGGAACGGTGGTAGTTCGGATCTGCTTTGCCTCCTTTTTTTTTTTTAACCATTATTAATACTGGTTTCAGAACCAACTGTAGAAGGTGCTGTGTTTGAGTACCAGAGCTGGCATTGGCTTTTTTTGGTATGGTGTGTTTTATTTGTTTTTTTTGTTTGTTTTTTGGGGGGGTCTTTTTCTTTCTTTTTTTGTTTGTTTTAGTTTTGGTTTGGTTTTTCAAGACAGAGTTTCTCAGTGTAGCCTTGGCTGTCTTGGATGCACTTTGTAAACCAGGCTGGCCTCCAACTCAGAGATCCACCTGTCTCTGCCTCCCCAAGTGCTGAGATTACAGGCGTGTGCCGCCGTGCCCAGGTTGGGCCATCCTGTTTTAATCCTGGGTCCTTGGACAAGATTCCTGAGCTCTCTAAGCTCCTGTTTTGTACCTTATAAAATAAAAATAAAATAAACCATGATATCTGTTGCAGAAGGTTTTCAGAGGACTAAAGGTGAGCCAGAGCATTAAAAGTGCACTGCACAGTGCCTCAACCAAACACAGTGACAATTCCCCTAGCTAGGACCATTTCCTAATTCTTGGTTGCCGTGACATAACTATGTATCCGTGTGGTAGCATGTGATGTTTCAATACTTGCATGTAAGGTGCGTGTCCAAATCAAGGGGATTAACATATCCACCACCTTACACGTTTATAATTTCTTGCCTTGAGAATATCCAAGTTAGCTATTTTAAGATATAAAATTAATGTTATCTATAGCTACCCCAGTGTTCCAAGTTTTCCCTCAGACTCACAGAGATCCGCCTGCCTCAGCCTCCCTGAGTGCTGGGATCACAGGCCTGAGCTACTACCCCAGGCTTGCCATCTGTCTTTTTGGGACTCACTGTCCCTGCCACTCTTCCAGTGACCACCCCTCTGTTGTTCTGCTTTTTGAGATAGATGAGTTTCTTCTCTGGTTAGAGCTACCTCCTATGTCCCTGTTCCCCTCTGTAAATGTGCAGGTCCTACTACTTAAGCATTCTTTAGGGAACCTGGGGAATGCGGGCAGGTGATGAGGGGAAATAAATGAAGCCACAGAAGCCCTGAGGGTAACTTTGGCCATTCAGAACGCAATGCCATTTGTGCGGTGATACCAACATAAAAAAGATAAAGTTGACTTTTATAAACGCAACCTCCAGGTCCTGGGTCTTTTGTTGTTATTGTCCTTTGGCTCAAATCTGGAGTTTGTGAAGTGTCCGCACCTCCCCCGCCCCCATAAGGCCACCATGCCTAGTAAATTTAGTTATAAACACCACTCAACCATTAAAGCCCAAATGGAGTCAAGTGGGGATTTGATTACAGGATTGATTAATGAAACCCAGACCTAAGACTGACTCCAGCCATTCCGCATTCTTAAAGCCCTTCGGGGGTGGGACGGAGACAGAAACATAGTGGGTGTGTCTCTTAACTGAGGCACCTTAGAGAGAGACCCTACACCTTTCCCTGAGCCTGCCAGCGGGCCTCAGCTGTTCTCTGTTCCCTCCCCATCCATGGAGAGAAGCTTTCTGAGGCTCGGCGCTCTGCTTTATCTCTGTTTATTCTCTAAACAGGCTTCCACATAATCTGTGCAATCAAAGGCAGGCTTATCAGGCTGCAGAAATGCTGCCTATCCTGGTGCATCCAGGTTGTCAGACAAGTTACCAGAGCAGGGCAGGGGAGATAAAGGCCGAGAAGAGGGCAGGAGCAGTTGAAGTGGAGGGAATTAAGCGCTCTTATTCCACGAAAAGGTAAGGTTGCAGCTTTAGGAAGAAACACAGGACCGATGGGGAGATGCCTGAGACTTATGAGACGACAGGCAGACACATTTGAGAAGGGTCATTTAAGGAAGACTCCGTGATGGTCATCTGGGGGATATTAGGAAGGACTGAGGCCTGGTGAGCCATCACTCACATCGTGCACACACTATAGTTAGGGGCTATTTAAAGGGTGGTGTGTGTGGGGTTTTTTTTTTTTTTCCTGTGACTTCTAAGTATTTTATTTTTAATAAAGCTGATTGATGGCTGGCTGGTTGGTTGGTTGGCTGGCTGGCTGGTTGGTTGGTTGCTTGGTTGGTTTATGTTGTACTAATGATTGAACCTGGAGCCCTGTGTATATTAGGCAAGTTCTTCATCACTGAGCCACTCTGCCATCCCTGTGTTTGTCTAATGTTAAACTGATGTTATTGTTGATGGGGTCAAAATGTTGAAAGCAGCGATTTGACCCCTGTTCCAAAGAAAAATGTGATCTAAGTGCCTGTTTGAACTCCATGAGATTTTGGTACCTGAGGTTGCATCGTACGGATCTTTAATCACTTGTGCTATTGCTGTCGACAAACGCTCTCTCCTGATAGGAAATTGTATAAAGCATTAAGTACTTACTAAAGAGGGCTGGAACTTCATCTCTGTTTAATAAACTTAAGCTATAAAAAAAATTACATTCTGAGGTGGTTATATTTGTTGGCCTGGAAATTACTGAGGCCCGCTGTCCTTTCTGATTAGTATTTGAGGTGAAATGGGGTGCACTGGACATACTGAGGGCAGCCATCCTCAGTTCCTTATTGCTGTCCATGTGTCCCTGAAGCAGACTGGCCCTGACCTTGCAGCTCTAGGATACTGCCTTCTACAGAAAAGCAAAATGTGAAATCTAAACAAACAGTATAAGAAATAGAAAGGCATCTTTAAGTTGAGTCAGTCACTGTTATTTTTTTTAGAACTCACCAGCTAGACTAGACTGGCTTCAAACTCACAGAGACCGACTTGCACCTGCCTGCTAGGTACAAGGTTAAAGGCATGCACTGAGGTCCTGGGACTAAATTACTCACTTTGGACTGGAAGTTCACCATACTTGCCTAAATTAGAGATGAGTTCAGAGACGCTCAACTCATGTGTCAGTTCTTTATAGGAAATATTTGCCTGCCCACGAGTGGTTTCCTTTCTTTGCTAATGTCCTTTCTCTGCTCTGCAGGCGATTAAATACTTTAAACAAGTGTGCAGTGATGAAGCTGGAGATCAGTCCCAATAGGAAGCGAGTGAGTACCTGAATTATGTAACAGGGTGGGGGCAGCCAGGACGCAATGTTAAAACCCATGTTTGCAGAGAGCAGTGGGTTGTGTTGTCTATTGCTCTGGACCTGAAGAAATCTTGTTATCTTTCCTGATCAACTCCATGAAACCTAAGCCGGGCATGGTGGCGCACACCTGTGATCCCAGGGGAGGCAGAAGCAGACTCTGTGAGTTCAAGGCCAGCCTGGTCTACAGAGTGAGTCCAGAACAGCCAAGGCTACACAGAGAAACCCTGTCTCAAAAAACCAAAAAAATAAAGGAAAAAACCCATGAAGCCTATTGAGTCACTGAGGAATTTTGCATGGCTCCCCAGAGGAAATAAAGCTAGCATTCTTTAGAACTCTTCCTGCTTCCCGGATGAAACAGTAACTCCATCTCAGAGCTGTCAAGATGAAAGCGAAGGCTGGCTTGGGAGATACTGTAGAACAGTAGGGGATGTGGAGTGGGGGCAGGGAGGAAGAGGCCAGGACAGGAAATCCCACACACTCTGAGTGGTGGTGCTGCGTCAAGAGAGCGTTTTTTCTGGGTAAGAGCTGTGAGACCATGGAAAAGGGCGAGGCAGAGTGCTGGGAGTGTAGTACCACAAATTACAGTAAAGAGCACAGTCCTGACTGTTGAGAGTATACATTTTAATTACCCAACAGTTTCTGTCCGGGGAGGTAAGCTTTTTACATGAATGATCTGGACTGCTCGGCACCCACTAAGCTGGTCAGAGGCACCAGGCTCTAGATGCTTTCCATGCCAGTGGCAAGGCTAGCTAGCGTACCGATTTGCTCTTCTGCTTTCCCTTCTGAAAGGCAATAGCCTGACGGGACAGCTCCCATTCCTGCACCTCAGTCAAGCGTCATCAGCTGCCTTAGTGGTTACAAATGCCCCAGGCTGGTGGCACTCCCTGGGCATTCTTGAAGCCCTGCTGCAGTGCCTGGAGCCTGTCTGACATTGAAAGTACCAGTAAGAGGTGGTGCAGGGTTGGGCTGCCCCGTGATAGCTCACCATACCTGCTCTCCATTTCTTTTAGGGGGATAGCTTGACGTTTTGTTTTCCAGCACCCTTCACCTGCTATCCTACTAACTGTTTGAAAATAGCCTTTTTTTTTTTTTTAATTGCACAGGAGAACATAAACATGCTCTGTCAACAGGCAGTTAAGCTGGAGGCGGTCCAGGGGGAGTCCCACCACTGCTGACTCCTGTTCCAGTTCAGAATATTTTGCATGCTTGGAATTTTCACCAATCTCAGAGGTGCCCTTTGTGAGCAATTAATGAACAGCCTAAAGACCCAGAGTTTCAATAAAAATAACTTATTTAGCTGGCAACGCTTGGTCAGACTTCTGTTAAAGTCTTTATACCTGGGCCAGTGAAATGACAGTGGGCTAAAGGCACCTACTGCCAAGCATGACAGCCAAGTTCTATACCCAGGACCTTCAGTGAGAAGGAAACTCACTCTGAACAGTAGTCTGAACGTGGTAGGAGCACTCACATACGTTCATACACATACATACATACATACATACATACATACATACATACATACATACATAAAAACACATTCTCTAAATAAAGTAATAATAAAGTCTTTAAATTCACTTTTCTTACTTAAGAACATTATGAAAGAAGTGAGTAATGGACACTAGGGAGTATCCTCCGAGGTGTGTCCCGGATCTTAACCTATGTCCTGCCACCTGCCCAGCACATAAATGGCTTCATTTCGTCTTTGCAGAGTGAAGATTCAGATGAAGATGAGCCTTGTGCGATAAGCGGCAAGTGGACTTTCCAGAGGGACAGCAAACGGTGGTCCAGGCTGGAAGAGTTTGATGTCTTTTGTCCGAAGCAGGATCCGATCCCTGGGTCCCCAGACGACTCTCACTTGCGGAGCTCCACGAGCCGCGAAAGCATGCTGACAGACCTCAGCGAGCGCCAGGAGGTGTCGTCAGTTCGAAGCCTCAGCAGCACCAGCAGCAGCGTCCCCACCCACGTGCCCCATGGCGGGGAGGCTGCGACACCCAGAACTAACTCCGTCCTCAGCGTCTGCTCCTCCGGCCACTTTGTGGGCAATGATGACTCTTTCTCCAGCCTACCTTCACCCAAGGAACTGTCCAGCTTCAGCTTCAGTATGAAAGGCCACGAGAAAAACACCAAGTCTAAGACACGGAGCCTGCTGAAGAGGATGGAGAGCTTGAAGCTCAAGGGCTCCCACCACAGCAAGCACAAGGCGCCTTCCAAGCTGGGCCTGATCATCAGCGCCCCCGTTCTGCAGGAGGGTATGGACGAGGAGAAGCTGAAGCAGCTAAACTGCGTGGAGATCTCGGCCCTCAATGGCAACCACATCAACGTGCCCATGGTACGAAAAAGGAGCGTGTCCAACTCCACACAGACCAGCAGCAGCAGCAGCCAGTCGGAGACCAGCAGCGCTGTCAGCACACCCAGCCCTGTCACCAGGACACGGAGCCTCAGCACCTGTAACAAGCGGGTGGGCATGTATCTGGAGGGCTTCGACCCTTTCAGTCAACCTGCCTTTAATAACGTGACAGAGCAGAACTACAAAAACCGCGAGAGCTACCCGGAGGACACCGTGTTCTACATTCCGGAGGACCACAAGCCTGGCACCTTCCCTAAGGCCCTCTCCAACGGCAGTTTCTGTCCCTCGGGAAACGGTTCCGTGAACTGGAGGACTGGAAGCTTCCATGGCCCCAGCCATCTCAGCCTGCGGAGAGAAAACAGCAACGACAGTCCTAAGGAACTGAAGAGACGCAACTCCTCCAGTTCTTTGAGCAGCCGCCTAAGCATCTATGACAACGTGCCGGGCTCCATGCTCTACTCCAGCTCGGGGGACTTGGCGGACCTGGAGAATGAGGACATCTTCCCTGAGCTGGATGACATTCTCTACCATGTGAAGGGGATGCAGAGGATAGTGAACCAGTGGTCTGAAAAGTTTTCAGACGAGGGGGACTCGGACTCAGCCCTCGACTCTGTGTCCCCTTGCCCGTCATCTCCAAAACAGATACACCTGGACGTGGACCATGACCGAAGGACACCCAGTGACTTGGATAGCACAGGCAACTCCCTCAATGAGCCTGAAGAGCCCACTGACATTCCAGAAAGAAGGGACTCTGGGGTAGGGGCTTCCCTGACCAGGTGCAATAGGTAAGGGCCTCACTTCTTTCTCTTTCTAGGCCAAGGTGGAAATGAGGAGGGGTCTGCTTGGTGGGATCCAATCTGACATTCACATACGCAGCCATATAAATCCGTAGGGACAATGCCCAAACAGGAGACCCCAGCAATCCAAAACAAAGTGGCTGTTTTTGTGGTGGGTGTGGACCCTTATTCAAGAACCATGAAAACATTAGAAACTGAGCGTGCCGAGTTTAAGTTGCTGAGGATGAGCTGCCACCAACCTTCTGTGGTTGTGTAGGAAGGACTGTTCATGTTTCTATTACGGAAAAAAGGGAAAGGGGCATCAATGCCCCTGGTTCCCGAGATGCCAGTGAGTAGCATGTGACCTGTTTTGTCCCCCACGAGGAAGTGTCTGTCGAACTCACTTCCTTTCGCCCTGTTCTCTTGCAGGCACAGACTGAGGTGGCACAGTTTTCAGAGCTCTCACCGGCCAAGCCTGAACTCTGTGTCTCTGCAGATTAACTGTCAGTCTGTGGCCCAGATGAACCTGCTGCAGAAATACTCACTTCTGAAATTGACAGCCCTGCTGGAAAAATACACGCCTTCCAACAAGCATGGCTTTAGCTGGTAAGAGAATAAAGTGCGCGATGAACTATTGCTGCAGGTGATGCCATTGTGCTTCGCGAGGCTGTCCCAGCACTAGCGTGTGTCCATCCTGTCCTTTGTCTCCGATCTGTCATCCTTGGGCAGTTAGTCTGACATCCTTGAGGCTGGGTTTTCAGTCCAGCTGAAGCTGGTGGAGTTTCAGGAAATTAACTGCGGGGCTGGTCGGTTGGGTTTTCAGCCCCTTACATGGAAGATTGCGTCCCTCTCACATCACCTAGCACAGGCGCCCTCTTTGCAGGTACAGGAATAACCCACAGTAGGTGGTTACACTGACTTTGTCAGGTCATGCCCAAGGGAGGAAGAAAGGAAGAGTGATGCGATACTGTGATATTATTTGGCCATATTTGTGCATGCTTTGTTTGTTTGTTTGTTTTTAAGCCCTGGTGGAAATTGAACTTAGGCCTTCATTCATGCTAAGCCCACACGCCATCACACTGTTATTTTTGAGTGAATGTTTGGAGCACGACTCAGAAATCTACCTGTGTTAAAGAGTTTAGGCTTTTTGTTTTATTGTTTATATGGGAAGCTCTCTGGGGAAAAAAAAATGCTCAGGGAGTAATAAATTCAAAGTAATTAGCTCTAATACCTCATATAGATACTATTCTTGTTTGTTTGAGTTTTGTTTTTTGTTTTTGTTTTTTTGGTTTGGTTTGGTTTGGTTTGGTTTTTTGAGACAAGGTCTGTCTGTTTTGTAACTCTGTCTGTCCTGATACTCACTATGTAGACCAGCTTGGCCTCAAACTCAGAGGAGAGGTGCCAGGCTTTTCCTCTTGAGTGCTAGGATTAAAGCCATGTGCTACCACGATCTACTACAAACAGAGAGATTTAAAAAGTGGGAATTGACTAGATGTTGAACTCTTCATAATTTTGAAGGTGTGGACAGCCAGGCTAGATGGGTTGTGGATGTGACATAATCTATGTACACACTCATTTGGTACAAACACAAGCACTGTGTCTGGATCCAGGTCTCTGTTTTGCAGCATCTCAGGCACTCTGCTGTTTGTTGTCCAGTTGTTACGAAGACAGAGATGCCGTCTGTTCCCCTAGAGCACTCTGCGGCCACCTTGGCCATCCACAGTGGCTTGAGATAGTCTGATCAGCAAGGTGCACTGCTCCTCTCCTCTGCCCCCACCCCCCCAGCCGTGGGTAGGGAATCTAGCCACAGCATCAAAGCGCCTCCCGAGCTAAGGCAGTTACATGAGCCTAAGCACAGAGTTGTTTGTTCCGAATGACAGAAATACGGATTGACCGATGTATCCCAGAATGCTTCAGATTCTCAGTGAGGAGTGTAATGTGTTCTTTCCACATTCCACAGCCAGGCTCTTCACCCCCAACAAAGCAAGTATTATGCACTCTTCTATCATAGTACCGTATGCTTGACTGTATGGAAACACAAATTTGGCTGTACTCTCTGGCTTTTCCTTTTCTAGAGCCATCAAGAGTGGCATGCCATGGCTGCGGGCAAGCACCCAGAAGTCAGCGCAGTTGGCTTTCTGTGGTGTCCCTCCATGCTTAGAGTAATATTTTCCTCGCTGCTATTTAAAACTGCATATTTTAGATTCTCCTTTCAGGGTTGTCCGCCCCCTTTCTCACCAAATCCTCAAAAAATCTCAAAGTCCACCCTCTTATTTCAGTTCTGGTCAGTTTTTCCAGTGAGTCAAAAACCAAATGTAAAAACCTGGCATTGTGGAATTTGGAGAGCAAGGAGCACTTCTGCCCAAAGTCCCTTTCCTGTTTGGCCTTGCCCTTTCTGGTCTCACTCACAGGGGTCATTTGTAGAGCTCAGATGTCTCCCCGACAGGCTTAAATGCCTGACATGGGTTTCCTGCTGTTTCCTATATGGCTGGGGGTGGGCCTGCTTTCAGGACGGCTGGCAGCCTTGGGGAGCCTCACAAAACCCCCATTGTGCCTTTTTCACTTTCCCATAGAAGCCTGAAGATGCCATTTTCTCTGGGGTCATAGGCAGGGGAATTTATTTTGACTTCAGGTCATGCCCCATTTGAGCTCTGGTCTCAGTTCTCAGTGTGACAAGCCAGTCAGCATTGCGTATATGCTGATATTTATGCGGTGTTAGTTAGTTACCCAGATCTTTTTATCTGAATCGGTTCATATCTCTTGAAGAACCCAAAGGGATTAGTACCCTTTTAGGGAAAATGGGAACTTGTTTCTCAAACTCGAATCAGAAATCCCTAATAGGGCATTACATATTTTTGCCTCTTCCTTCCTGTACCATTGTCATGTCAAGTAGTCCTATGCTAGGACCACATACTCATACACATACACAGGAATTAACAGGTTCCCCAGATAACGGGATTTGCCCAGGTCTTACAGCTCTGACTCAGGTATCTAGACCGAACTACCCTCATAGTAAGAAAGTGTCTTACAAAAACAAAGAAATCGGGGAAATGTTAGGGTTTAGCTCAGTAGAACCCTTGCCCAATGTTCCTGAGGCTCTCTGGGTTACTTTACCCCCAAAAGCACTGTCCTTTCACACACATACACCCAAAAAATCCCTAGGACATTTTCCAGTATTTGGGGGGGAAGGGTATTTTGTTTTTAATTTAATTTAATTTTTAATTACACTTTATTTCCTTTGTATCCCCCCTCTAGTTCCCTCACTTCTCCCCTCCCAACCCCTCCCTTCTTCCCCTTTCTCCATGCATACCCCTCCCCAAGTCCACTGGTAGGGGAGGGTTTCTTTTTCTTCCTTCTGATCCTAGTCTGTTAGGTCTCATCAGGAGTGGCTGCATTGTCTTTCTCTGTGGCCTGGTAAGGCTGCTCCCTCAGGGGGAGGTGATCAAAGAGCAGGCCAATCAGATTATGTCAGAAGCAGTCTCTGTTCCCATTACTATGGAACCCACTTGGACACTGAACTGCCATGGGCTACATCTGTGCAGGGGTTCTAGGTTATCTCCATGCATGGTACTTGGTTGGAGTATGAGTCTCAGGAAAAACCCCTGTGCTCAAAGTCTTTGGTTCTGTTGCTCTCCTTGTGGCCTCTTGTCCTCTCCAGATCTTACAATTTCCCACTTCTTTCATAAGATTCCCTGCATTCTGCCCAAAGTTTGGCCATAAGTCTCAATATCTGCTTTGATAGTCTGCAGGGCAGAGCCTTTCAGAGGCCCTCTGTGGGAAGCTTCTAACTTGTTTCCTGTTTTCTTCTTCTGATGTCCATCCTCTTTGCCTTTCAGGATGGGGATTGAGCATTTTAGCCAGAATCCTCCCTCTAGATTAGTTTCTTTAGGGATACAGATTTTATTAGGTTTATCCTATATTATATGTCTATATGAGTGAGTATATACCGTGCGTGTCTTTCTGGTGTATTTAGACTCACATAATTTATTGTAGCAGCTACTCGCCCAGTCAGGCCTTTGATGTGGCTAGTGCAGCCTGGAAACTGAACTGGTCACTTTATTATTTTCACTCAAATAGTCCCTGTATTGACAGGGATCAAACCCGTAGGTTTGTTTCCCAAAAAAGGGGGGGGGGTGTGAGTGAAAGCAGATGAACGAGTGCCTACACCCACCGCCACCACCATGTTTAAACAGGGCTGTGCCCAAGTTCATGAAGAGGATAAAAGTTCCGGACTACAAGGACCGCAGTGTGTTCGGGGTCCCGCTGACCGTGAACGTGCAGCGCTCAGGACAGCCCTTGCCTCAGAGCATCCAGCAGGCCATGCGCTACCTCCGTAACCATTGTCTGGACCAGGTGAGTAGTGCAGCTGCCCGGAGATCCATCTGTGGCAACTGAGCTTCAGGCCCCCCCCCCCACCCCCCCCCCCTGCCTTTCCTCCCTGTGGGAAAGGTGTTGCTTCTATCGTCACTCCTAATGTTTTTCTTCCCAAAAGGTTGGGCTCTTCAGGAAGTCGGGTGTCAAATCCCGTATTCAGGCTCTCCGCCAGATGAATGAGAGTGCCGAAGATTATGTCAACTACGAGGGCCAGTCTGCTTATGATGTGGCGGACATGCTAAAGCAGTATTTTCGAGATCTTCCTGAGCCCCTCATGACGAACAAACTCTCCGAAACCTTCCTACAGATCTACCAATGTAAGTATCCTTGCATCTTCTTAAGATTGTTGAAACTGGGTTTCTTGGGACCAACGGAAACACGTCCTTCTTCTGCCAAAAGGAAAAGAAAACAAACAAACAAACAAACAAACAAAAAAAGCCCTCTGGAAGCAGGAGTTAGCAGTTTGTGTGCGTATTGGGTTTATGTATAGTTAGCGAATGATTTGAAAAGCCGCTTTTGTGTGGCCTGGGAGTATGTTGGCAGTGACTGTGAAGCTTGCATGAAGTAGTCAGTTGGCTCCAGCATGACATGAACCTGATGTGGTGGTGTACATCTGCAATTCTAGCACTTGAGAGGCGGAAATGGGAGGCTCAGAAGTTCCAGATCACCCTTGGCCACATCCTGAATTTGAGGCCTACCTGGGCTCCATGGGACCTCATCTTAAACAGAAAAAAAAATAAAATAAAATAAGCCTTCCTGCTGAGGCTGTACATGCCGAAGCAATTTTACATTTTTACAGTCAAGTCTAGCGTCATCTTTCTAGAGCAGTGTAATATACACACCAAAATCGTGTGCTTGGCCCCTATCAACCCTTCTCCCTCTCTGCCTTGTTCCCCTCCTCTCATTTCTTTCCCCTTTCCCTGGTCTGTACACTTACCATTTTACTTTCCACCTCCCTCACAGAGAATTTAAAATTTCTCTGGTGTCTGTGTGTTTTATCTCACTGGAAAATGAATAAATAATCTTTTTTTTTCTTTCTGTTATTCGTCATGGCCCCTTCCAGAAATACCTGGGAAAACAGTCCGAATGCCCTCCTCACTTTTGAGCTCAGCTTAAAGCAAACAGTTGTGGAAATAAATGATCAAGATCAGGTTCATGGCTTTCACAGCCTTGTATTTTTCTTGGCTCAGGTGGCATCCAGGGCAGTGAGATTTAAAAGCAGCTTGTCTTAGCACTGAAATAATCTTTAGAACTGACGCATTGAGCTTCATTTTATGAGAAACGGAGCTGGTCTGGACTGCTTCATTATTTGTTTCTCCTTTCATATTTTATGAAAACACAGGTCACATTTTCCCCCACAGAGGTATTTGTTATTCGTTGTAACCATGGAGCTGTTTAATCAGTTTGTCTTATGGCCCTGCATTTAAGTGACTTGATTTTTCCACCACATGCTTTAAGAAAAAAAAAAAAAAATTAAGTTTGCCTGTGGATATGACTGGAAGGCTGGACACAGACTTACTGCAGTGTAAATTTTTCTATAGGCTTATGTACATTTTCAGACATTTGCTTCCTGGTATACTCTCTAAAACTTAGGCCATCATTTAAAATCTAGCTTTTGAAATCAGCTTTGTATTTTCACAGCCTTTTCACCCCATTTCAAGGATGAGCAAATGGGTCAGAATTGGTCCCCCAGATATACGGAAGCTTTTCTAATCAGCCGGGCGGTCTTCATCCTTAACGTCTGCCGCGTGTCTCACATAAACTTTTTATTGGAACTACAGACTCTTAGATGGAGAATGATCTCAATAATGAAGATGGCAAATTAGAGAGCTTTGTTTTAGGTGCTTAGAAGAAACAGTTCTGCACACTGAGAGAGCTGAACTCTAAGGTCCATTTAAGAGTGTGTCGGTATCGTGGGTATTTGAAATGTTTTAACTCCCCCGAGAGGCAGGAAATACTTGAGGGCAGTGACGCCGGTGGCAGCCCATAATTTCTTCCTTATTAATCTCTAGTACGCTTTCTACAAGTGCTTGTTCAGTGTTTGATGCCGGTGTTTGCTTTGGGATGCGGACTTGCCCTGTTCATGGAAAATTACCGAGCTGATGGCGGGAATGCTTGTGCCCTACAGATGTGCCCAAGGACCAGCGCCTCCAAGCCATCAAGGCAGCCGTTATGCTCCTGCCTGACGAGAACCGGGAGGTTCTCCAGACGCTTCTCTACTTCTTGAGCGATGTCACGGCGGCTGTGAAAGAAAACCAGATGACTCCCACCAACCTGGCCGTGTGCTTAGCTCCTTCTCTCTTCCACCTCAACACCCTGAAGAGGGAGAATTCTTCTCCGAGGTACAGATCAGATGCAAGGAGCATGCCCGGGCCTCCTGTGGGACATCTCACTTCCTTTAAGGCCGTGTGCCTGCGTCCCTGTCGGTTTCTTACCTGACCCGAGCAGAAGTGCATAGTCCTGGAAGTAGGTCCCTGTGTGTCACCGAGATAGAATTACCTGACGCAGAGGGCGTAAAGGTTGACTTTGCTTACGGTTTCAGAGGACTCAGCCCGTGGTTGGTCGTCCCATGTATCTGGCAGGACATCACGGGGTGACAAGAGAGGGCCTTTGTTTCATGATGGCCGGGTGGGAGGGTGAGAGAATGACACACGTCATCAAAGACAAGACACCCAAAGACCTACCCCCAGTGGCCTGCTCATGCTAAGTCCTACCTCCTCAAGTTTTCTATAACCTCCCACAACAGTACCACCAGTTATCCTGATCACCAGTTGGCCAGAATGTGAACTTCTTGGAAGCCCTTCCTGCTCCCGCTGTTCTGACTCTTAGTTCACAGAGCAGCCACGTACCCCTGTCTACTTTCCTAGTATGCCTTTCTAAAAGCTGTCTTTTAAGTTCAGGGGTCCGGAGAGAGAGTTCCATGGATTTCTGTTTCGGCACAAGCAGTGTTGAAGGCAAATCAAACGGTGTTGTTTCCATTCTCCCTGCAAACAGCCTCTCAGACCTACTTTTATAAAATCATGGGTGAATGATCCCTGAGCCTTAGCCTCCATGATCAGGAAAGACACATTTCTGGCCTGTTCCTGAAATTGAAAGCAAGGCTACATACAAAGGACAAAGGCTATCGTTGGCCCTCAGAGTTGTTCTTAACATACAGCCTAAGCCAATTACTGGCAACTGTGTCTGCCTAGAATACATGTACAGGAGGCAGGAGTGTCTGTAGAGAGACTGGAGGAAGCTGGGTGCCTACAAAAGCTAATTTTCCCCAGGGACTTCCTCTACACCAGGCAAAAAGCTGTTTTCTTCCCATTAATCTTCTTGTGTCCTGACAGTCATAGGTGATGGACAAACTGCTAAGTGTCTCCTCTTCCTCCTCTTCCTTTTTTTTTTTTTTTCAAAAATAAAGTGAAGTTTGAGGAAAGGTTAGCTCTGGAAGGAAGAAATGGGAGATCTTATTTGCATTTCTTACAAGAATAGTTCGTAATAAGACCGCCCCCCTCCACCACCACCACAGGAAGAAAAGGTGACCAGCTGGTCTCAACACATCTTCTTCCAAATGTATAACATAGGAACCTGAAAAGCGTTTCTCAGCTTGACCCATTGAAGTCATTGCACCTGAAAGCCGTACAATACTTAAATAGCCTTTTAACTAGTGTTAAAAGTTGTCGGGACATTCCAGCTTTAATGGGATAGAAAACTACAGGAGATGAGCAGAAGAGGGGCCAGATAAGAATAAGACCAAACCTCAAGGAAACAATAGGCTTATCCCTTACCTAAGGTACGGGATCCTGTTTGCTTAGCTAGTGAGAATAGCGATACCATCTATCCCAACTCCAAACAGCTCCCACCTCAGTCTCTTGTGAACTACTTAATAAAATCTCTTTAAATACCCTGGATATTTAGCCAGAATATACCTAGTTAGTACTTTGTGTTGTGTTTTTAATAAAACTATGAGAAACTGTGCTTAACAAAGTAAAAGTTTCTTTGAACCACTTAACCTGCTTATCAAAACCCATTCTTTTTTTTCCTAGGGTGATGCAAAGGAAACAGAGTTTGGGCAAACCAGACCAGAAAGATCTGAATGAAAACCTAGCTGCCACTCAAGGGCTGGCCCACATGATTGCTGAGTGCAAGAAGCTCTTCCAGGTATACAATCCAGAAGCTTGGCTGCTGGGCTAAGGATAACGTGGATGGGCACAAAGTCAATGGCTTGGTACCTGTTCTCACGCACAAAAGGTCTTTCTCAAAAGTGGAGATTATTATGTACATAGGCTGAAATTGCCATACTCAACTCAACTCTCTCTCCCTTCTCTCTCTCACACACAGGCATTTTTTATGTATATGTATTTAAATATATGTGTGTATATGCATACACCCACTACAGTTAATGTTTCATTCAATTGTCTACCTTTTACTTAAAAGTAAAAACAGAGTTTGAGGTCAGCTTGGTCTACAGAGGTAGTTCCAAGATAGCTAGGACCACACACAAGAAACCCTATCTGGAGGAAAAGGGGCCAGAGGAAGAGAAATTTAAAAAAGCAGAAGGAACAAATTATCTGGGATTAAAATTGTATCTGAGAAACCTGCTTTGCTCCACGTGAGCCCTGTTGTGAATACTTGGATCCAACTCTCAGGAGCAGGAACAGGCTGCCAGCTTGAGTCAGGCCATTGATTCTGCCTTCACCTTCTGCTGAGGTGCTGGCAGACCCATCACCTTCTTGTCTCTGGTGTCCCTCCTAGGTTCCTGAGGAAATGAGCCGATGTCGCAACTCTTACACGGAGCAGGAGCTGAAGCCCCTTACACTGGAGGCCTTGGGACACCTGGGTAATGATCACCCTGCTGACTACAGACACTTCCTCCAGGACTGTGTGGACAGCTTGTTTAAGGAGGTCAAAGAGAAGTTCAAAGGCTGGGTCAGCTACCCTACGTCCGAGCAGGCTGAACTGTCCTACAAGAAGGTCAGTGTTCTCCCTGCTTCATTCCCGTGGTCATGACTTTGAGTCATCAGACGTGAGACTCTCTGCCCAGTTGTACTCTCTGTGGTAATCTCTACCCCAGACCTGTCATGGACAACTGTCCCTGTGGTGGGCAGATGGGTGATTGAGATTCCCTGGGTCAGAAGGGATGTCTACCATCCCGACGGAGGAACAAACCCTCCGTCTGCATGTGAAGTCCTTTCTTCTACAGAATCATCCTAGACCGGTGATTCTCAATCTGTGGGTCGAAAAGCCTTTCAGGGATAGCGTATCTGATATTTATGGTTGGGGCTCACTACGACCCGAGGCCCTGTATGAAAAGGGCATTAGGACCTGCATTAGGAAGGTTGGCAACCACTACTCTGTACTTGCCTGGAAGATTCACTAGTGCTCCAGGGTTTTGAAGGGTGTCTGAGGACATGATTAGATTTTATTTTTATTTTTATTTTTATTTTTATTATTATTATTATTATTATTTAAAGAAAATAGTTTCATGTTCTGTGTCATATTTGCAGCATCCTTTATGTCTCGGCATATAGTTCCCATCAAGGTGTTCATCAGCACTGTCTCTCCCATCTTGAAAATAAACACAGTGGTTAGGTACAGCCTTTGGGATGGAATAACTGAATTTGTCACAGCCATCCTCACACAAGCCCTGCGAAACAGACGTCATGGATTTTGATCAGAATCTACACTATTTTGTTTGCACTCCTAGCCTGCTCTTGCATCGGGGGCTAGTAGCCAATGAACTGCATCGATTTACTAATCAGCCTCTAAAGAGATAGCCATGTTCCCCACTCAGATTTTGCTTTCAAAATCACATGCATCACCTAAGCAATGAAGAAAGACATATCTTGCCGTGTGGTGGTGGACATGCCTTTAATCCCAGCACTTAAGAGGCAGAGGCTCTGATTTCTGAATTTCTGAGTTCAAGGCCAGCCTGGTCTACAGAGCAAGTTCCAGGGCAGCCAGGACAAAGAAAAACCTTGTCTTGAAAAACAAAACAAACAAACAAACAAACAAAACTCCACACATCTTCTTTTCAGGTCAGTGAAGGCCCACCCCTGAGGCTTTGGAGGTCAACCATTGAAGTGCCTGCTGCACCTGAGGAGATCTTAAAGCGCCTTCTAAAGGAGCAGCACCTCTGGGATGTGGACCTGCTGGACTCTAAGGTGATCGAAATCCTGGACAGCCAGACTGAAATCTACCAGTACGTCCAAAACAGCATGGCGCCCCACCCTGCCCGGGACTACGTCGTGTTGAGGTGAGAGCTTCCAACCTGTTATGACTGTGGCATGGACAACTAAACATTAGCCCTTGTGTCACTCAAACGTGCCATATGGTTATGATATTCAAAACCAGGTGTAGATGTCAGGAAAAGTGCCGAGTGATTTCAAAGCGCATTTATATTTATGCCAGCGGGGTGCTCCAGTGAGTAAGGCTATACCTCTTGACACTGAGCTCAAAAAGTTAAAAAAGCCTTTTCAAACGCATGTGTGCTGTGGTGCTCCATTCCTTCCCCACTGAGTATAGATACTCTAGTCTAGAAACAGCGAATGAGTGAATAAGGCAGGAAATAGCCTTTAGTCCCAAGTGAGATGCGGTTAAGGCTGACTTCTACGTAATTCTCAAGTCCTCTGAAGGCTATTGAAGGAGCCGTTCTCAAAAAGCTTTGAGGAAATGTCACGTTACTGTTCCCTGCTTGTTTGATGTCCACATCCTGAGAAATGCAAGGAATGTAAAAACAGTTTTTAAAAAAATACTTGAAACTGGCTCCTTTCCAAAAAGAGACTGGGCTGGGTGACTGGGCATTTCCACCAAGTAGAAGCTGCCTTATGCAGCTCGTCCACCCAGAGTCCATGCGCAGGGATTGGGAGACACCAGGAGGGAGGTGCCATTTCCAACCTGGCTCCTGAGAAACTCCATTAGCCCGTTGGTTTTGTCTCCACAGGACCTGGAGGACTAACTTACCCAGGGGAGCCTGTGCCCTCTTACTCACGTCTGTGGATCACGACCGGGCACCCGTGGTAGGCGTGAGAGTGAATGTGCTCCTGTCCAGATATTTGATTGAACCCTGCGGGTCAGGAAAATCCAAGCTCACCTACATGTGCAGAGCTGATTTAAGGTACATTCTGATCCGTCTGACGTTTTGACAAGCGAAGAGTCACAGATTTTGCCGATTAGCAGAAGTTGCTGATTTTCCATATAATGCCAAGAATGGCAAAATGAGTCTATCACCATGGTTCAGAGATTTTAATGGAGAGCAGTGCTTATAAAGCAGAACCCTGATGTTTGCGGTCCTTTTGGGTACTGCTTCCAATCCGAATTCCTTAGGAGATGTGCTACTAAAGCTACCACATTTGGTACTTTTGTCACAAATTTAAAGCCACGGGAAGTAGTATATTTTATATTGAACTAACAAGTAGATATTTCCCATTTTATACTCACCGTGTGCGTGTTTTTTAAATGGATGATACTAATGCTTTGTGCAGTAAATGAATGTGACTCATCAGATATAAGGATGCCCAAAACCAACCAGTGAATGCTCTCTTGGTCAGTAAATTCCCTTCGTAAACGTCAGCTACCCATACAATGCATTTCTGCGATATATCCTGACGCTGTCTCTAAGCAGGGCCATTGAGTATCCATGCTTTCAATGCTGTCTCCTACAAACGTTCTGTGGAATGGACAGGTCTGGGGGTTGTCTGCAGGAAAAAAATAATCTTGCAATCGGGCGTAGTGTCACAAGCCTGTGATCCCAGACACAGGCAGATCTTTGTGAGTTGGAGGCCAGTCTGGTCTACATAGCTAGTTCCAGGACAAGTCAGGTCGATATATCAAACAGAGAAAGAAATGGAAATGTACCTTTGGTACAGCTCTCTATTGAAGCGTTTTCCTCTCATTCTTGAGGTACTAAGCACAATCTCATACTTAAAATTAAAGGGGGAACAGTGTACAAGACGGCCTTCATCATATCTTGGTCCTTTCTGTTTTAAATAACTTGCCACCTTTTCTTTTTGTGTGACAGGGGCCACATGCCGGAGTGGTACACAAAATCTTTTGGACATTTGTGTGCAGCTGAAGTGGTAAAGATCCGAGACTCCTTCAGTAATCAGAACACTGAAACCAAGGACACCAAATCTAGGTGATCACTGACGCATAGCACCTGAGTCCACTACCAGGGTGGATGTTTCTAGAGCCTTGCCAGTCCTTGGAAGAGTCCATCTGGGTCTGATTGACTATGGCAATTTGACACGTTCTTAAAGCTGCTTCCTGTTTGTCTTAGGTCTGTGTTATAGACCTTGACTGGAATACATAAGACTTGGTGGGGGGAGGGGTACTTGTACTATTCAGATTGCTTCTGAGAAGCAAGAACTCTTTCAGCGCATAATGGAAGATGACAAAGAGACGTGATTCTCCTGTGACGTCAGCGTATGTGTACCTTGTCCTTTGTAGCATGTTGGGGAATGATGTATCCACTGGAATAGTTGGTACTTGGGGACAGGTTTTTCTCACTGAGATGAGCGGAGAACGGTTTGCACAGAGGAGTGTGAATGTGTGTGTTGCTGGCTGAATGGCACAGATGAAGGGATGGGATGCAGTGTCTGGCACACTGAGATGCTCCAGAAAGGATGCTGATAAACCAGGTTTAGCTCAACCTGGAATAACTGACTACCCAGGGATCCACCCAGAAGGGGAACCCAGCTCCTTCTCCGTTTCCCCCTAGGGTATTAAGCTGTTTTTTTGGTAGTTTATTTCGTTTCATTTGTTTTTGTTTGTTTGTTTGTTTGTTTTTTCTCTTCTGCAAACCTTTGATTTCCCATAAACTGTAGTTTCCCCATGACTGTAGAAATTTAACCAATAAGACCAGTTCAGAAATAAGTGTCAGCTTCACTCCCTTGACTGGCTCCAGAGAAAGGCTTTTATTTAAGTGAGATGTAAAAGTTAAACACTGACTAAGCAGAATATGAAACCTTTTTTTTTT